TTCAAGTTCTTGAGTTTAGCGGGAGAAGGAAGTTTGTTGTGTCAGTTATTTTTCCTTCTCTTTAAAAAGACGACCCACGTGAGCATCACGTGCTATACAAAACCGATCTATAAATTTATTTCGGGTTTTGGTTCGAACCGGCCGGTCTAATTTTTGGGGATGATTTCCTCCATCGTTCCCGTTCGGTCCACCATTCAGCAATAGAATGGTTGCTAATTTCTTCGTCTAAAGTCTAATTCGCTTCAAGGGTTTGTTGATTGACCTCTTTCCTCTTGCGTCTACCATTCCTCTGATAAAACCAATTGCGCATAAAGGTGAGACCTTTCTTTGTGCATCTGGAGTGACTGGGATGAGATTGCTTGTTTGGTTTCATCTTCTGAATTGTGAGAGTTTGGTGTGTGAATCTGTGGAGCCAGAGTCTGCAGCTAAAGTGACGACTGGGATGCTTTTGGAGATGGATCAGACCCAACTTCTCCATCTCCCTGAAGCTCTCAAAAGCTAATTTTTTTGTTTGGTTTGGATTCCCCAATACTGCTTTTGTAATGATAAACTCAAAAGATCACTTCTTTGTTTATCAAACAAGGAGGAATACAACTTAGGATGATGATTCTACTAACAGAAATGCATTATAAATAACCGAGTCCTCAATATCCCGCACATGGCTTGTCTCCTTGTGACGTGTCTCACCTGATTACTTCTAGAAGCCGACTCTGGATGCTTCTAGAAGCTGTCTCTGTATTGGATCAGCTAGAGACACTAGCATGCCTGGTCTTTCTGCGGTATCTTATCAGCCCTCGTAACAGGTTTTAAAGGAAACACGTTTCTGCTTTGTTTTGCTTAACCACAAATTTTATCTTTTGCCAAAAGTTTCAACTTTGTTGCTAAAAAACTGGAGTTTCACTGCTGAGAACAACTTGTCTTGTTTCTTGTTTGTAACAGTGGAGATTCAAACTTGTGCTTGTAGAGGCCAATTGAAATTGTCACAACAAGATGAATCTGTGTTGATTCGTGCTACTGCACTTGTTGAACCAAATCTTTCATTTTCATAAAGTTTGTGTCTGTTATGTCTGCATAAACCATGAATATTTTCCAAGGCATACTAAAACATAGAGCTTTTACGACTACAACAGAAATTACGACCATCAATTTGCTTTATCTCATGACCCCGAGTTTCACATATTCATTGGCATAATTGGCCTGCAAAGTCAAACATCAAATATCAAATATTGTGCTTGGAAAATGTAGAGCTTTGTGGCTTAAACAAAAGAAGAAGAAGACACTCTGGAAAAGCAAAGACTCTTAAAGGATGTGGAGGGTTCTCAAGTACAAGCATTAATGTCTTCTCCGTACATGGTGTCGTTACCAATGAGCTTGGAGAACAAGTTTAGGACCACAAGTCTTGTCTTATTTGTGTCTATATGAAGACGACATAGATAAGAAAGAGAGAAAAACCTAGAGGGGAAAGTAGAGATCTTTGTTCGCCGGTGAGGGTGAGAGGAAAAGATGTAATCCGAGATGAGAAGTACAGAAGTGATTCGGAGAGACTTGTAGGTTCTGAAAATTGCAGGTTGCAAGTTCTGGTTCAAAGTAGGAGCCGCAAGAAAGAATGCAAAGATGTCTCAAGGTCTGTTACTAAAGTTGAAATTGTTGGTAAACAAGTTCATCTTCAAGTAGTCACAACTTACAAGAAATCCAAGAAAAATTACAGAAATTGCAACAATCATGAACATTCTGATTGTGGCAAGTGCATAATAAAAGGATTGAAAGATCTTCCCAGAGGCTGAATCAAGCATGCCAAGAAAAAATCTGATAAGAGAGAGAAGGAGTTTCTAAGTCTGAAATTACCACTTGATGGTAAATGACTACCACACTAGTCAATGTGTTCTACAGCTAGAGAAGCACACGATTTGATGTGGAAGAAGCTATAAACGAGTGTCTCAAGAACATCTTAGCGTTTTGCTGTAAGGAGACAAGATTAAAGGTTACGAGCAGTAATTCTTAGCAGCATTTGTTTTTCTCAGAGAATTGGACAAGGAATTTGTGTCGAAAGTTGTGAGGCGTGTTCTGTTCAAGGCTGAAGTGGTTAAACAGATGGATGTAAGTACAATCTAGGTTGCTTAATGATGAGCTTTGATTTTTGTCAAAGCTTGAAAACAGAGTAATACGATAACAACAAGAACAAGATACACGAAGCAAATGGGAGACGTAGCTCCTACAACGAAGGAAAGTGGGAAATGGGAGATTGGTTCCTTAACAATCGGAAGTCCACTTCTCCTTATTCAAACTGCAGAAAATGATTAAAGATAAACCAAAGTAAAATCAATTACCGAACATAATTTTGGTTCGGTTCGATCTCCTTTGGTTCGGTTTAGTACCCCATCACCAACTGGTTGGTAGTTGAGATTGTTTCAAGATCGAAGCACATATGATTCTGGTTTACTGCATATGATTCAAGAAAGGTTTGATTCCAAGTTCAGTGAATCAAGTTTGCAGAGTTGAATTGGGTTCATGGTGTTTAGCAAAAGCTAGCAAGAAGACTGTGTGTGATTGGTTCTGTGTTTCGAAGAGAACAAGATAATTCCAATGCAGATAAGGCTAACACAAGGCTGTGGAAAAAGATACACAAGGGTCGTTGATGACATAAGAAAACTTATCCAAGTCGAAAATATGTCCAACGTATTGTGAAATGCATTGAGGTTGTTGCTAAGCAGGGATTAAAACTATCAAGGCAAAGAGAGGTTCAGTCCAGAGTTAAGTTTCAAGGGATAAATCTCATGGTAGACTTCAAGTTTTGAATAAAGGAAGCATTAATTCAAGGCTAGTTCTCAGAGAAGACGTGGTTGTTTTTTCAGAAGATTTTGTGGGTAATTTGATGTAAGAAATTAAATTGGAAGCAAGTTTGACACAAAGACGTAAGAGAGAAGCAACTTGCAAATCTGTTTAAACAAACAAAAAAATACAGCCTATGTGTGCTAACACAAGTTTGACACAAGAGATAGTTAGTCTCTCATCTACAAAGGAGGCTGAAAAAAGGCTAACAAGGTTGTTCAAGTATATTGTGATTCAAGAAGCAAGAGCAGTTTTGTTTAAGATCATAGTTCATCTAAAAGGGTGAGAGAGTACTAGCACCAGAATGCAAGTCATAAGAGATATGATTGCGGAAGTGGTAACAAAGACGGTGAAGAGGGAAATAGCTTATTGCGGAAGTGGTAACAAAGACGGTGAAGAGGGAAATAGCTTATCATCAAGCTGAAGTTTTTTTTC